TACTTTGATGATATGCAAATATCCCCCTAACCCTCCTTCCCTCACTCCCCCTCCTCCACCCTTCTCCCTCAAGCAGCAAGCCTACACACACACACACACACACACACCCAGGCTAATGCACTGTGGCAGCGTCCACAGACAGGCGGGGAGGATCAATTTTTCACCCAGTGTGCTACCGATATTCATACGATAAGGCCACAGAAGAGAGGAGAGAGAAAAGGTGGGGGGAGGGGGAGTGGCAGATATGGGGATGAGGAAAATGGCGAGTGGGTGTACAGGGATGGGAGTTAGTGTTGGAAAAAGGGTGTCGAGAGAGAAAGGAGGGTGAGTGAGAAGTTGAAGTGAGAGGAAAAGACAACTGGGGAGCAGTTAGGTAGAGAGAGACTGGGGTGAGAAAGTAAAGAGAGGGTGGGGAAGTCTCGTGGGTGTGTGGGTGGGTGGAGGCAGGATGAGTAAGTGGGTTAGGGGTGGTAAGAAAGGGGGATGGGGCGTATAGAGGGCTCTGGGGGATGGGGTTTGGAATGGATGGGGTGGTAAGGGAAAAAGAGGGTTAGTGTGTAGCAGTGTGCTTGTGTGTTGGGGAAGTGGGGGGGTATTTTGCTGACGTGCTCTCTTATTGGCTTGTTCAAACGCTGGGGGGAGGGGCAGCCACTAACCATACTCTCACCAGCTGTAGGGAAGAGCAGAGAAACAAAGAGAGAGGGAGAGAGTGAGGGGGGGCAGTTATGTGTTTTAATGTTGATATTCTGGTCTAATTGGATTCCTGTCTAAGTGGAGGAATGAATGGTACTGATCAGACAGAAATGGGCGTAGTAGATGAGGCAGCGAGCTTTGCTTGAGTTCCTGTTTTTAAGTACACACAAGAGGTTCTTGATCTATAATTTAATTTTCACTGGAGAGACAGAGGGGAGAAAATTGCCACCGCAGTATCTTTGGGAAACATTCAAAATTTTTCAGAAATGTTTAGAAAAAAACTGAGCAGCTCCTGGGGACGATGTTTGTCCTCGTTCCTGTCATTGTTTCAATACCTTCAGTCTTACCTAATACTTACGCAATATATCTTTAAGAATGGTATCTGACAATGAAGAAATTTCAGATGTCTTTTTTGTCAGATGTGGTGGAGAAAAATATTTCAATATCACTGAAACAAAGGCAAATATTGTTCACACATGTCTCTAAATCTTGAAAACACAATGACACATTTTACTTTCTGAAAGCATAACATTAAATTGATATTAAACAGAAAAAAACACACACACAACTGCAACACATGCAATAAGACAGATTGAGAGCCATGTGTGTGTGGAGCCCAGCTAAGCTGCGGTGGCTGAGCCATTCTACTTTCTGTGACAGACTGACAGCAAAGAGTGTTTGTTGCTCAGAAGAACAATACACAAGAAAGAGAAGGGAATTTGACAAAGGGTCTGACCAATAGAGGCACACAAACCTAAAAATGAATGGGAAAGAGACAACAACGAAGACAAACAAAGCAACATAAGATAAAGTGAGAGGGGAGGTAAATGTGTTCATACAAGGAGAATGGGAGTGAGAGAAAGGGATCTCAGAGCAGAGGAGAGCCAAAGCTTTCTGTGGCTAAGCCAGACTGGAGCGGTGGGACTTGGCTGGCTGTAGACCCTTGGCTTCACTATTAAAGCGGAGGAGGGAAAAAAAATCACAGTTAAAAAATGAATAGGGCAAAAAACTATGCCAAGAATGCACAGACAAGAATCAGGCTTGTGCATTTCTTTAAAACCTTCCCCTTAGAGTTTACAAAGCAGCACTGTGGCTTTGGGCTGTGGTTGTGATGACTGTCCCAACAATGAATCAACAAATATTTCTAAAGTCATTAATCAGACAGGAAAATGTCTACTTTGTACACCAATCTTGTCTTTTTTAACAACTTTAATGAGACGTAGAATCAAGGAAGAACATTGTTACTACTTCACATTAATTAACAGGAAATATTTATTTATTATATTTAGTTTAGCTTGACATCAATCATCTTTTAGTTAACCTCTGCAGGATTGGCTTGCATTTGAAGCTAACTTCAGGGCATCTTTTCATGTCTTATGAAATGAGTAATTATTATTGTCTTTAACTTTATGTGGAAAAAATCATGTTGTTTTTTAAAATAAAAAAAATACAATTTTTGTGACTTTGTTTGCTTTGTTGTTAAATTTACTAGTTTACTAGACCTCAATCTTTTGTGTATGTGATTTAGCTACATTTTCCAGAATGTGTCTTATTTTAATTGATTTCAGTGTTTATTTTTAGCAAAGTTGTTGCTCTGAGTATAAACTGCTTTATGTTCTCTTTATTTTTACTTGATCATCATCACCACCATCATCATCATCATCATCATTCTCATCATCTTCATCATCATCACTATTATCATCATCATCATCATCATCCTAATGACTTGTTTTGCCCCTGTGTTGCACACCCCTTCCTGTGTTTCTCCACACACAGGACACCAAACAACAGCCCCAGTCTGAGTGACCCACCTGGTCAGCTCATAATAATATAGCACAGTTGCCAAAACCCCAGTCATATCACTACACAGAGGTGTAACACGACTTATAGGCTTTCCCAGATTAATAATGAACAGCAAGGATTTATTTTCCTGACTTTTCCATCCACTGGGCCGAGGATTATAGCCTTCGGACTGTCTAACTCCAGAATGACCGTCACAGAGGGAATATTTGTGGAAAAACACACCCTAGGAATGGACTGCAGCACCACGGTGTATGGGACACCAAAAATATCCCTGTAGCGAAATCAGGAACAGAATGGTTTTAGGAGAAAGAGACTTTTGGCTTTGCCTGAAAACACCTTTTTTTCAGTTCAATTATATTAAATGATTTTTTTTAACACCACCAATTGCAATGTAAAAAGAATGGTTCTCCAGTCAACTATCTGTCAAATGTTTGAAATGTATCTTAACTGTGTTTGCCATATGTACTGTGTGAGGGTGGTGATCGTGTGTGTTTAGCTGAGAGGTAGCGCCAAATGCCATGTCATCTTCTTTGCTCAGAGGAGTACGGAAGGTGCCAAAAAGTGACACGTGACGATGGGTGTTGAGGGGTAAATGTGTGCGGACACGTGATCAGGAGTGCATTTATGTGTGGGAAGGAGGAATCCTTCCAGCGTTTTTCTTTCCTGAGCCTCTTCCTGACCGACCCCCTCCACTCCGCCCCAAAACACACATGCACTCCTCAAAGCTGGCGTCAAAGGGTTTGGCCTTGCCAAGAGCCAACCCACCAGTCTCCCTCTTCATCCTCCGAGGTCTGTCTGTTTCCACCGCTCGCTGAATGTCACTTAAATCCTGCTCACACATGCACACACAGCTATTCCCGTATCTGTCCGTACACTGTATGCTGGTGTCTGCTAGTGTCTGTCACAGGACTTGGCAGTAAGGAATGATGCATACTATGTGCATGCAAGTGCCGGAATGTGTGTGTCACAGAGTTTGGCAGTTCCTTCAACGCAGCCTTACCAAAAAATCCACAGGGAAATGTGGTTTGAACGCCCCCTCTCTTCTTCTTCTCTTTCTCTCCCTCTCTCTCTGTACCTCTCTCACAATTACTCTCCCTTTTCTGTTTTTCTGTTAATGAACTTACATTTTCCTCGTATAAACCTGTTAGAAACCTCTTTCTGTTTCTTCTCCTATTATTCGATAAGCTACATATATGTCAACATATAGTCACATTCCACTCTGTATAAAAAGGATTGTCTCATCATTTGAATTAAAAACGCTGTCATCTGGGCACGCATACAGAGGCCCTCAACTCACTATGTAACTTTCCTAGGGCTGTCCACTCACAATGACTCCTGATGGAGAGACATGATAGGTTATCCTGTAGGGACAGCTGTTCCGATGAAATCCAGCTACTTGGTATTCTATCCGTCTGCAAAGCATGAAACACAGGAGACTGACACTGGAAAGTATGCAAATGATGAAATAATTAATATACCCAGCTACCCCTGTCATTTATGTCTGATCCAGAGAGGTGATTATTTTCTAGCGTGACTCTGACATAGCACTGAAAAAGAAATCCTCTTAACAGCAGAGAAAAACAGAACAAAGAGAGGCTTTAGAATTTAAATACACTCACCATCTATACTGACTTTGACCCCAGTAATTATCACTAAACACATTCAGATTCAGTCTTTTTGGTTTTTGTTTGTTTCTCTTTTTTTGGCTCAGAATGTTAGCATAGCCTCTTTTAAAAACATCTGAAATGTGTGGTGTAGATATTGGTTTCCTCTCAGCCAGCCCTCCTGTCAGGAGGTCACACTGATAATATTGAGTGCAGGCTGTGTGAAGCATTGATCATTGGTGTTTCTC